GTCAGAAGCAATCCTCAGAAAACCTTGCACAAAAGATAAAGGTTCCTCTTGCACATATATGTGCTAGTCATTCCCAACTCTAGGGGGAGGTGCTCATTTCAGTTACAAAGCCGAAGAGCCAGCGCTGTCCAAAGACATCTCTGTGGTCATGTGGCCAGCATAACTAAACGCTAAAGGCGCATGGAACGCTGTTACCTTCCTAGAAAAGGTGGTTCCTATTTTTTCTACTTACATTTTTATATGCTTTCAAATTGCTAGGTTGGCAGAAGCTGGGACAAGTAACAGGAGCTCACTCCTTTACATGGCAGTAGGGATTTGAACTGCTGAACTGCGGACCTTTCTGGTCAACAAGCTCAGCATCTTAGCCATTGAGCCACCACGTCCCTCTAAACCTTGCATACTTTATTCTAAAATAACTAAATACTGAATTGAAAGAACTGAAGAAAAATCCAGTAAACCTAAACTGCATGATTTAGATATTGTTTCCAAGTTGAATAAGAGATTTAAAAAAAATCTTTCTATGTCCTTATTTACTTTTTCTTGCTACCTGCATCCACTGTTCATTCATCAGAATTATTTGAGAGAAATGTAAAAAGTAACTGCAATTTCTAATGTTGTCTTCTGAGTTGTAAGATGCAGATTCAGATTCGCAGCTGAAACTGGAACATCATATGTCGGCTGTGACCAGGGGGGCTTTTGCCCAAGTTTGCCTGGTGCACCAATTGCGGCCCTATTTGGATCGGGATGCGCTTCTAACGGTCACTCATGCCCTTGTCACCTCGAGGCTGGATTATTGTAACACCCTCTACATGGGGCTACCCTTGAAAAGTGTTCGGAGACTGCAGTTAGTTCAGAATGCAGCAGCGCGGGTGATAGTGGGTGTGCCGAGGTACACCCACATTACACCTATCCTCCGTGAGCTGCACTGGCTGCCTATTGGTCTACGGACTCAATTCAAGGTGTTGGTTATCACCTTTAAAGCCCTACATGGTTTAGGGCCAGGATACCTTCGAGACCGCCTGCTGACACATACCTCCCAGCGACCAGTAAGATCCCATAGATTGGGCCTCCTTTGGGTGCCGTCGGCCATACAATGTCGGCTGGCGGGCCCTCGGAAGAGAGCCTTCTCTTTGGAACCAGCTCCCTCTGGAAATCCGGACCATACTCACTCTGCTGGCCTTCAGGAAAGCTGTAAAAACCTGGCTGTTCCGGCAGGCCTGGGGCTGTTGACCTCACTGTTGAGGTCCGGCCCCGACTAGAATGAATTTATGATGGATGATTTTGTTTTAAATTGTACTGTTTTTATGTTTTTTTATATTCTGTTTGTAAGCCGCCCGGAGTCCTTTGGGATTGGGCGGCATATAAAAGTTTTAAATAAAAATAAATAAATAAATAAATAAATAAATAAATAAATAAAATAAAATATTGCATGTTCCAATTGTAGAATTATATCTGAAAGTGAAAGAATTCTGTTCTGGCACCGGGGCAATCTTGCTTATTTTATTAAAATTATGTTCCATTAAGAAACACATAGGATGTTCAGCTCCTGTTAATTCTTCCAATTGATCTACAGCACTATGTATCAACTTCACTAATTTTAAGATATATGAATTTCAGCTCCCAGAAATTACTTTAGTCACCCATTCTCCCAAACTTTTCATATTTGTTATCTCCATCCCTTAGATGCTTTAATGGTTTCTGGATTTATTGTATATTTTAGGTATTTCCTTTACAGTTAGTAGTCAGATTGTGACCACTTGTTCAATGACCATTCAAAGTTAGACTGTCCCAGCAGCTCTGGATTGCAATTTGGCACCTGGGCACAGTATGTGCTTACAATGGTTGCAGCATCCCACAGTCACATGATCATCTTTTGTGACCTTCCCTGGTTTCCCACAAGCAAGGTCAGTAAGGAATCTGGTAAGGAAAGTTGCTAGTTGCTCTGCATTTACGTATTCCCAAGGAATCCCAGGGATTTTGTATTCCATAACAACATATAGCCCTACTAGCCCAAGCACCTGCAACCCCTCCCCCCTCCCTGGTCACCTATGCTCCATAGTATGCATCATCCAACTCAGTTGATTCATCCATATGTCATAGTACTCACTGGCAGTCATTCGCAACTCACCTGTGGCTCCTATCAACCTGCCTGTAGCCTCCCCACACTTGCTTGGAACTCCTTCCTCTTCCTGTTTAACACCCAGATGATCCTGGGATTATTGCAGCAATGGGGACTGCCATAATTACCATTGCTAACTGATGTGGTCATGCGGCATCTTGCTCTATGACCAAATCATTTAGTGATGGAAATATGGATCCCAATTGCAGTCATAGCCTGAGGACTACATGTGCATTTTTATCATGTTGGCAGATTTAATTTTGTCTAATTTGGGATTGTTTTTCCTAGTTCTTTTATATTGTGGCTGATATTTTAATTTCCTTTGTTAATTTCATTATTGCTGTTCTTGGCTGGGTTGTCTTTCCCCAGGGAATTGATTCTTGAGGTTGCTACTGATCCACTCACTGCATATTATTATCTTTTAAAATATAAAACACAAAATGGCTTCAGCATACTTGTTTTCAGAGCTTAATCCACTATGGAGTCTGTATATGTGTTTGTTGTTTAGAGTTGGAAGCTTGGGAAAAAGAAATAAGCAGATGCTGCTAAATGTCTACAGCCACGAAGGGGGAAAAAATCACAATTGTTCAGAATAAAGCAGGCATGCATTTAGTTTTTTCTTCCTTAAATTGCATATTATTAAAACAAATGCTTTTTTTTTCTTGTGCTTTGTTGAATAATTTAAGTATGGCTAAACGAGAGAACTGAATAATTTCTGCTCAGCTTAAAAAAATGAATTTTCTTAGCTACTTTTAAAGGCCACTTTTGTTGTGCCACATATTTCTAGAAACTTAAAATACATATTATCTAGATTATTTTCTTATGACATTTTGTTTCAAGAAAATATAGCTCTTCAATCTCTGATAAAGATACCATAGGGATGAAAGTACTATCTGAAACTGAATTTCCAGAAAAATGAACCGTGGCACTTCCATAATTCATTAATTATTCTAATTACATTTCACAGGAGCTTGCACTAATATGAGCTCTTATATAAACAGTTTCACAGATGAACAGGTCTCCATCTGTGAAAAACTCCCTTGCTCAATCACCAAACTGTTAAAAAAATTGTGGAAAGTATTCAAAAAAGCAGTTTGAATATGGAAGAAAACATTCCATTATGGATACAGACTTTAAAAGGTTTCCTAGTGTTAAGTGAAAATAGGCAGTGAAAATAGGCAGTAATTGCATCCCCCCCCCCCCTGAAAATGCTGTATATGTAACGGGAGTGGGAGGGTGGGGAAGCCTCTACTCACAGAAGAAATGACTTGTATAACTGAAAATCACAATTGAAAAGGCATATTGATAGGGTAAAAGTATCCATTCTTAAAAGCGTTGATTGGTGTAATTGCAAGCTGCATACATTTTAGCAAGAATTGTGTGCAGTCACTGCTGAGGCTGATATACCTTATTACATCATTCCCTAAAGGGAATGCTTATGTTATGAGGCTATAGAAAATAATTAGAGGATTTGGGAGTCAGTTAAAAGCATCCATAATAATAAAAATCAATACAACTTTTGAGATTTGTTCCTGACATCCTATTTCTGAACTGCAGCAGAAAGATTAAAGATATAGTATGAGAAGCTTTCTTTCTTTCCTTACTTTTCTGAAAATATGATATTGCCACTTTTCATGGGCGATTTCATAAGATGAATAACTAACACAAAACTTTCTAAAAGTCTCACAAGAATGAGATTCAAGGAAGCCACTGGCTGAATAAAGAAAAACTTAAATTTGAGAATGATGGTGGTGATCAGATAAGGGAGTGCTAGCCATGAGTATCAGTGTGGAGAAAAACAGATTATAAATCAAATAAATACATTTCAGCTTTGTAGAGTGATTAGGACTATCTTGCAGCCTATCCTTAAGCTCTACCTCTCTCTCTAAATCATACATAAGAAACTTGCGTTGCTTGAGTGAGAAAGCAGTACCTTTTTAATAACTATATCTCATATTGTCTTCATAGGAAGGCCCTAGATAAAAATTCTATTAAAGAGGAAAATTTGCAGCTTTAGGACTTTAAATAGATTGGAAACCTCCTTGTTCAGAATCAGTTTGATTGTTGTTAACTATCTATTTCAAACCTATTCACTATATTTAACAAAAGACATTTCTAGGTGACTATTAAAATCAACACTCCCTCCTGGTTTTAGTACTACTAGGGTTCCTTGAAAGACTAGCATAACTTGAGCCTCACAGATATTGACCAATTTTAACAATATATGGTATTTTATCTACATGCATTAACAGGATAAGCATTATTCCTTCCAATAGAAGACATGATTTGTAGTTCAAGATTGAATTGTGGAGTATTTGGTGCTCTCTAAACATGGTAGTTTGATTACAGACATTTAATTTACCCAAGTGGATGACATTAAAGCAGTTGCCCCCAACTTTTTGGGCACCAGGGACTGGTTCCATGGAGAGATTTTTCTGTGGACAGGAGGTGTGGTTTCATGTGCTGCCTGCATCCCACAAATGGGGCTTTGCTTGATTGCACGGCCTGATTTCTGGCATGCTGCGGTCTGGTGCAGATCCATGGACTGGAGGTTGGGAACCCCTGCATTAAAGGATTCAAATTGATGACGTTACCTAGTTGGATAAGGAAATAGTTGCAAGCAAACAACCAAGCTTAAAAAGCACCAAGAACTCCATTACACCTTCTTTTTGTTTTTGGACAGATACACAACTGCACATTTGAAGATATACTAAAAGGTTTCATTCTCCAGTCTGTATGGATGTCAATCGTTGCTAGGCTGTTCATTCATTAACTAAACACATATGTTGGTATTGTAATTCATACTGCAATTCTTTTTTCCAGATTGGTTTATATAATAGCAGATGAAAAACTTCTTTTTAATTTATTGAACTGCAATAATAATTATGATCTAATTCTTCTCAGTTTTATTATAAACAGCTTTTAGCAGAATGCAAGTACTTACATTTAACTATTGCAAAGTTATTTATAGATCACCATATTCAAACAATTTGCACCAAATTATTTCACACAAATTAAAAAATAATTAACAATAATATTCTCCAGAATCACAAATTTCATTACAAATGCATTTCATTTCCTAACAGGATGAATGGCATTGATGTTCATGTGCAAATGTATAGTTTTTTTATCTTCCCGCTGTGAGAAGAGGCAGAAAAAATAGAGAATGTTACATGTGAACATTTTTAGACTAATCAAAAGCAACTATCTGATTAAAGTACAAAGGATAGCTACTGCTTGAATGCAAATTACTCAAATGCAAATAAAATCCAAACATAAAATTCAATCCATGCATATGACGATTCTATCAAAAGAGTCTCAGAACAATTTCTTTTAAAGTCATATTGGAATATTATTGTGCTTTTTTAAAACAAATATTTCAGTAAAATATTTATTAGATCTAGCAGATCTGGAGCGCAAAATGTGGAATGACCATTAGATGGCAGAAAACAAATACAGGTAACAACTCATTATTGCCATCTAACGATGACAGCTTTTTGCAGCCCAGACCCGGTAGCCCAAATATAAATTGCTATCAAAGTATTCCCACACATGAAGCTTAGCTGCAATATTTGTAAAAAAAGAAAACATTTTTCAAAAAAAGAAATTTGGAAATATCTATCGATCCCTGCTGCAGGAATTAAAGCACTTTAATATTTTTTAACAGGATCAATATATTTCTCTTCTTGGGTACAAAGTAATCAGGGATAAAAAGTGACAATTTTATACATCATGTCAAATAGTTAAAAATTCCAATATTGTATTCCTGGACTGAATTGTTTTATGCACAATCTCTTTAAGGGTTTTTTCTCTGTCAGAGTAATGGAGTAAGATTATTAGATGCCCAACTATCAAATAGATCAATCTGTCAAGTGAAGTTACCAGATATACCATGATAAAGAAGGAAATGTTTCATCAGAATACGATGGAAAAAAAACAAGGAAAGAAACGTAGCTGCATAAATATATACACAGTGTGAAAATGGTTTACAATTTACAAAGGATATGGATTAAGAATAAATAAAAAGTGGTTTCCATAGTTTTTTTTAATAAACATCTCAAAAAAGATTCATTTTTAATACTTTTACAAGCACATGTAATAATATTTTTGATATGGTACACACAACCTATTTATATAACAAAATGATGTGGTTTTGCTTCTTTCTGCTCTATCTGATTTGGTTTGGTTTAAAGAGGTAGGGTACAAATAGGAAACTTGATGAGAAAGATTATTTTCTTCCCCCATACTTCTGATTTTAATCAATGGAAAGTGCAATGTGGTGGCCCAGTTTTGTTGCCAGGCAGCCTTATAAATCGAAGCACCTTTAGCTGCTTGATGCTATGATCCCCTTGAAAAGTTCATTCAGAAAGTGAAGAGGTGCTTGAAGGTTAAAAGTGAAAACTGTTTTTGTGGCACTGAGATTTCAAATGTTCTTCTCCATTCTCATAAAAATCTGCTGCAATTATGGATATGAAACAGATCCTGGGAGAGAATGCACAGAACTGGTGCTTGAAGCTTGAGGTGAGCCGGTTGCCAGGTGCTGTCCACCTGGGCCAGCGTCTTCTTCATTAGTCTCTTCCTTCTGTAGAGTGTTTTGGGATGGGCATTCAAAATGTACACAATGGAATACCTGAAAAAACAACAGAGAAACTTAAATTATTAAAATAAAAGCACAAGCATTGGTAGAGCTAAATGATTTAGCATAAACATGGAACATATAGATAACCAAACAACTTAATTTATTTAATTCTCTCTCAATGGACTAAGGGCCACATTCGCTTCCTTCCCTCAACAACAATATGCAATTTAATATATGGTTATGCAGCACATTCAATTTGATGAGAAAAAATGTTTCAGGATTATATGAGTATTATATAGCTCTTTAAATAAAATATAATTTTCCCTAGATTATACTACAACTTTTTAGGACAAAGTGCTATATAAGGCACTCCTGCAAACCTTCTTCTCTTCAGAACTGCTGCACAGCCTCAGTATCTAGAAGGATCATCCTGACTTTAACATGATCCATTAGAAAAAGGAAAAGTAGACAAACAAACGAATACAAAACCTGTACAATGCCAGGTTTCCCAACGTGTTAACATAAGGGGGGCATTTCTATCTAGAAATAATCCTGATCTTTTTTCCCCTCACAATAAAAATGTACATACAACATATTTGTATGTGTCTACATGTAAGTGTATGAAACTTGTGTCCAAAACAGCATAGGACAAGAGAAATAATAATACATGGAAATAATACAAATTAATTAAACTCAATTGCCGTACAATAAACCAATTCCTTTTTAAAACTAATTTTCCACTACACATTCTAATCATAACCACACACAGAAAATTCACACTGATATACATAAAGCTACAAGCATACAACCGTTCTTGTCCCTACTTTTGGAAACAGAAAACAACAAACCCTAAGATAGTGATAGAATCAGAGGGAAATAACAAAGGAAGGGAACAAAACTGGATGGTTATAAAGCAAGCAAAAGTTATGAAGTGAAGTATAAGTTCTATTTGGGCTTTACAAAAAGTGTTAAACGCTCTCTTTCAAGTCCAATCTTCAAAAACACCCACATTTTCCAGCAACAATGTCTGCAGTCATTAATTCGTTTTCAGCAGCATCTTTTTTTTCAATTTATATGAGAACCTTTTAATCATTATTTGGGGAAAAAGTAATCTTCCTATCAATATCTCAGGGCTATGTTCCCTAAAAGTGATGAAGCTGACTATAATTTACAAAAGCCTAAGTGTTTAAAAGTGGTCCTCGTTTAATGACCATGTATTTAGCGACTGTTCAAACAACCGTGCCGAACAAGTGGTAGTTACAACCTGTTCTCCAAGTTCTGGCTGTGCAACATGTTTGTGTTCACATGATTACAATCTGAGCACTCAGTGCCTAGCTCACAATTGCAACATCACAGCAAGCTGTGGTCATGTGATGACAAATTCAGATGTTTCATCATGGCTCTTTCCTTTGCTATGCTAATACCAAGAAAACATACAAAGTTGACTGAACTTTACAATTACTCACTTGATCATAAACAATTGGTATTTATTTTTTTCCATCAGATTTTTCCAGATGTCTACTTACAATATTTTTCTAATTGCTGATGCGTTTGCACTGTCTTTGTGTTTCATTACCCTAATAAAATTATAGATTTTTAAGTTTTAAAATATTGTTTTAATTTGCTGTATTTTTGCTGTCTCAATTATTTATTTAATTTTGAAGAAAAAATAGATAATTGTGGCCAACATAAATTGCACTCTAATTCATAGTCTAAACTAAATTTCTAAGTATGAATAAATATTGGACTGCAAAAACATAATTCTTATATTTCATAGCTGTGGTTTTATAGCCTATTTATTAAACTGGCAACAACTCTGAGAAAGCTCAACATGATATCAACTCTTTATCTAATAAAGACTTATATTCTTAAAACATTCTTAAAGATCCATCTCATCCTGGGCACCCTTTTTTTGAACTATTACCATCTGGCAGACGGTACAGGATAATAAAAACAAGGACAAATAGGTTGAAAAACAGCTTCCATCTCAGGGCAAAAACCATATTGAATTCTACTGTATAGTGCAATATTAATGCACTATCAAGTGTTTTCAATTCAATTATATAGAATGTGAAGTATGTGTGTTTATGTTTTATTTTTATAGTTATAATGTACACTGAAGATGAAATTTAATTTCGCTGTACGAGGTCAATGACAATAAAGTAAACTAAAATAACTAAATGTCTGACAGGTCTAAATGTAAGCACTATACTAAAAGAATCCAAAATTGCAAAATTGTTTCTTTCTCAGTAGAGAAGACTCCAACCATGTACATTAACAATGTCATTTATTGAATTCAAGCAGATTTATGAAGCAGAAAATGATAACTTAGTGATCCCTAATATTATTGGTAAAGTATCTTTGTTACTGCTCTCTTTAAATGTGGAAAATGTTCTCTGAAACAAGAATTGTTCAAAAGAGCAAAACGTAGTATATGAATAAGTATATTTTTTTTAAGTGAAGTATTTTAAAGGTGTAATTTACAGTTGATACAATCACCACGAGCCTATAGCAGACAGATAATTGTATTCCATGGTATAATGATCTTTATCCATATCTGTAAAGTAGCAATTTCTATACTGTGCCACTGAGAGCAGCATCTGCTCTGGTCAAAAGGAGTAGAATTTTGAATGAAAAGAAAAATTAAGTTTGATTTCGAATCAAGTGCAAATATGTTTTAATAAGCAGCATCAAATGTATGCAAAAAACCCTTCAATCTAGAACACTGGAAGGAAAGACATTTAACCAACTTTAATTATTTGACACAGCATGATAGAAACCTGCCCTTTTTTACTTTTGTGCCTACTTTGAAATAAAATAAGTGGTGTTTTGCACATCTGAGCTTTGTAAATTCAGCAATTGGTTGGGGCTTCAGATTCACTGTTTCAGCTTGATCTCATCTGTAAGACTTTAAGACTTTAAATAGATATGTGAAGCACATCTATTGCCTTTAGCTCACTGAAAAATGGAAAATCCAGTAATTCTTTGATCATGTCACTGAACAAAAGCTTTGAAAATTATCTCTCAGGCTCTTTGTTGGCAACAGCTATATCTTGTAAGAGATAATTTGTCAAAGACTTAAAATATAGTTCTGATTGCTATTTGTTCTATATATTTTTGGAAAAGACAACTGGATAATATGTGCTACTGGAGTGAGATTATAAAGGCTTGAAGAACTGTAGTGCCACCAGTGGTATTAACCAAACTTGAAATTTAGTTAATATCACTTGAATGTGAATGATAAAAAGTGGTTAAAATGCTACCAGTTAAATAAAATTGCTAACTAAGGGGGAAAATATGTAATACACTTTTATGATTAACAGTAAACAATTCTGTCTGTCTGGACTTTTGCTTTAGATTGATGAGGAAAATGCTGAATTTTTTAGAAAAGTTTTTTTCCCCTTTTAAACCACTAAAAAATAGATTAGCTAATAATATCCTATATCTTAACATCTTTCTGCTTATGGTTTAAAATACAAGCAAATCGCTTGTAAAGCAGAAGAAGGAATCATTCCAATAACAGTACTTTGTCACCTTCTTCTGTAAAATATTTTTTTAACATTCCTGTTTAATCTGATAGTTAATGCCAATTAATTACACAAAATAACACCAGAAATGAATAAAAATTATCCAAGCAGTTAAAAACACCAGTACATACCTTGATCATGCCTGCCACTTTATTTCTATCTGTGGATTGTAGAAATATTATCTCCAGCCCTCTTTTAATAGTAATAGGAAATCTTTATGATTTTAACTGACTGCTATCTCTCTGGAAGAGAGGGCTAAAACAAATAACTGATGTAACATCACCTTTTCAAGCATTAGAATACTTTCTCCTTGTTTTTCCATCTTTGCTGCAGCCAAAAATCCAAGCAGCTTTTTAAGTGTCACTGAACATTGACCAGATATATTTAAGTAATAACTAGCCCCTGCGTCATATAGTCTCTGTATGCTCTACATCACAATCCAGAAGCCTGACCATACATATCAAACCAGTACAACTTTAGACATAATGTTTGGTTGTTCAAAAAGATGTGCAGGCTGAGTAATTGAAGATACTTCTTTAAAGTTCAATAGCAATGGACTGTTCCATTACTCAAGAATATATATCATCATATATGTGACTTGAAGTTGTTTATATTTGATACTAGCTGATAACCCGGCATTGCCCGTGTATTTATTAATAGGGGGGAAATGTCCAGACCAAACGTAATTTCTAATGTTGGATTTCTCCCCTTATCAGATGGAGCCCCATTGTGCAGTACTGTGAAGCAGTTACCATGGCAACTCCACTCCGCTGTACAGCAGAAGCCATTGTAAGGCACAACAGACTGTATCTTAACAGAACACAGATCCCAAGGGGTGTTAGGGGTATCTTACCCCCACAGTATTTTTTTCCAGAGTGTAAATCATCTGTGTACCAAGTTTGGTTGCAATTACTCAAGGCAATCCAGAGTTATGCTGGCACAGACACACACACACAGACACACACATACACACAAATATTATTATTTTGGCCTGAAGGGCTGCCTGAATATGCTATTCTTGTTATTCCATCTCTGCTTGGATCCTCATGTTTATTAGAGAAATAGCACAAGGAAAATGTTCCTATTACAGGATGCTCTTGTAACTAAATGTTAACTGGGAAAGCGATGCATATTGTTACTGATTACTTAAATGCTGATACCTTCTTACTGATAAATGATATAAATATAGAAGAAAAGCAAAGAAAAAGAGAAAGGAAAAAATTCCTACTGTCAAAGTCCTCAAGAGATTGTTCATTTATTTATTTATTATTTTGTTTAGCTGTTACTTTGCCATGTACTTCCAATGTTCTATTTGTATTTACATTACAGCTCTTTCTTCAATTATTTGAGTGATTTCTCATTTCTAAATGTGTGGATCTGTTGCTTTGAAGACACTTTGCGAAACAGAATTTTCATCTTTTTTAACAACAGCTGCTGCCATTTTTCTAACTATCACAATCTGGGAATTGAATTTCAGTAAATTGATCAATTATCTCAAACCGAGTGCTTTTCATGGGAAAAGCT